GTCTCGTTATTTGGTTATCGTAAAAAAGTCCCGTCATTTGTTAGCTCGACTATGAATATGATATATAGTTATCGAATATATAACCAGAAATAGAGACGAAATAAGGGCCGTACATTTCTGGTAACTCATCAGTGATACATCACTTATAAATATCACCTCTCGTTTGCACTGAAATAGAAACAGCGCCAACAACTGACCTGTGCGTACGTCTCCGTATATTCCAAAAATATTCCGGACTTATTGTAATAAATATAATATCTCTAACAACGGCGTGCTGTTCCATTCGGTGGTGTAGGGAATAACAGCAAAACATCTAATTACAAAACAAACGGAATCAAATTTCATCGGTTATTAAATATGTAATTTTGCAATATTCGTCCATTATAGCAAAGCTCAAGTTAACTGGTCGATTTGATGTGAAACAATTGACATCACCCATTAGCGACACCCGTCAATTGTTTCGGATTCGGGTTGGCCAATCGGAACGCAGTTGTCACAGTAATGATATGGCAGAATGGTTTTCAAACAAATTAAAATTACATTTTATCTCTATTTCTTTTTAACCAGCTTCAAAAAAGAGGAGGTTCTCAATTCGTCTGTATGTTCTTTTTTTTTTGATGTTACGCGATAATTTCGGTATTTGTGAACCGATTTTCATGATAATTTTTTTGTTGGTACTTCCATAGTGGTCCCATTTTATTTTGAAGAAAATCATCCACCTCGAAGGGTGGCTGTTCACACATGAAGATTCATTTTTATAAATAGCGCCTAACTTTAATTTAGGAGCAATTATTTTAATAGTTGATTTTGCTATTTCACCAATTCAAGGCGTTTTTCTCTCAATATACTTTGAGTAGTGTGAACCGATTTTTATTATCTCCAGTGTCAAGTCCTGTATAGTGGCGAACTAGGGGTTATTTCAATAAAACTTAGCAAATAGACGTAATTCCATTTACTTTTGATGTCGGTTTTTTAGTACTTTGTACTGAGATTATTATATACTCGATGTAAATAGTATTTAGTGCCATTTTAAATTTCATACTGAAGATAGTTTTAACCTACACTCTGACTTTATATATCAGTAGCTATTCCTATAAGGCCTTTGTAAGTAAAAGGAGCTGCAGTCTGATCATGAGGGTTGTATACAGCTTTAACATCTGATCCATTTTACCAAAATACTAGCTCCGCTGGGTTTACTCGTGTCCGTCCCTCATATTCTTATCCTAAAGGATTATTATAGATTATTGAATAATATTTTTTTATCATGAAACGGGTTTCTGCCGAGTTTTACATCAGAGGCCTGTGGATTGGAAAAAGGCCTTTTGCGGTTCGGAAAATTATTTTATCTCTTTAAAATATTGCGAATATTCCTTTTGTTAATTTGATACTTCGTAGACCTTTGATCATAACCGCCAGATTATGAAATATTTTGTGGCAAAAAATGATTGATTATATAAAATTAATATACGAGTATAATATTTATATTCAATACATACTCATACATATGCGAGCATTCGTATTATTTTGATTATTTCATAATATTATTAATTCATAATTCAACCGTTAATTACATATTATTTCAATCATCTGTGTGTAATTATTTTTTTTTTCTTTGCATAATCTGTGTACGATTGTAATTAGATAGCAGTCGCAAAGAGTGTACATAATGTTATTTAAAGTAAATGTGACTTATATATCTATGTACCATGTTGAATAAATAAATAGATAAAAACATACGTTACATGTACATTCTAAAAATTGTATGAAAAGGGTTAGTAGTGACAGTCGCGCGGCTAACTTGGACGCGTAGTAGTGAACATGTAGTTTGGGACATCGCACTTATAAGCGTTCGTCGATAAGTAGGTTTCGGCACGATGTTTTTTTGCCATTATTGAGAGACTGTTTGCTACTAAATAGTTACAAATGTGTTTATTTTTTATGTAAGTGTTATTGGAGGAAATCTAGACACATCCTATAACTCCTGCTACGAAATATAGCTAATTTTGCAAAAAGCTTAGGGTCTGAAAAATGGCTTCAGCTGAGACAATACCTTTCTATCTACATAGCAGATGTGACAACAGACGATGTTAAAGCTCACGGCCTTGTCTCACAGGATGGGTAGGTAACAAAAACAAGTGTAAAAAAAACTACAAAATAATGTAGAGTTCTTAGGTTTTCGCGATTGTTACACTTAGGAAATGAAACTATTTTTCCGGATTCAAATCGCGTGTATTTGTTTTTTCAAACAAAACGACGTTTCGGGACCTTTACAGGTCCCATGGTCACGATTGACTGAGGTGGTACAGTCATCAATCAGTTACGTCAAATATTAATGCAAATACTGGATCCCAAACTGGTGGTACGGAGAAACCTTCTTCCTTGTTGAAATTAGGATATTTTTTAATTTCAATGGCATCTCGCAGCATCCTGGGTAGATAACAGACTTCTTTTGCATGGACCTGGGGTTTTTCAAACTTCATTGAATGTGTAGGTTTATTTATGACATGCTCGTAGACTGCAGACTTGTTGACGCGACGGTGTTTGACATCAGCTATATGTTCTTTGACGCGGGCACAAATACTTCGCTTCGTTTGTCCAATATAAGAGAGATCGCACTCCGAGTCAAGCTTGTAAACTCCTGCATCCACCACCTCACCACCGTACCACCTCAGTCAACCGTGACCATGGGTTTCCGAAAAATCCGGAAAAATAGATTCATTTCCTATAAAAATAATATTTCTTAATAACTTTTTTATTTAAATTAAGAAACACATTTCGTAGTTTCGAAATTATTTTCAGGTTTTTAAAATTTGTTTAAGGTTTGACCGACCTCTTTTTTGTAATATTGCCCAGTGACGGGACGAACAAGCCGTGCGTCTGGCGGTAAGCGACACGCCTAACCATAACAGTTGCAATGCCATTCGCAAAGATCTTAGTTATTTTTTTAGTTATTACTGCTACTGTGCGCCCTGAGACACAAGTTAACAAGTCCCGTGTGCCTGTAATTTCACCAGCACCCTCACCTCCTGTGACAAAGAGCTCTACTGCTGCCTAAAACATTCAAATAAAAGAAAACCGCTTTGTCAGTCCGTCCGTTTAAGAGCTACGATGTCATTCAGTCACACAGATAATTGCTTCGAACTTATAACACCTCTTTATTTGCGTCGAGGGTTAACCATATTCCAGTAAGCATAAAAAATGTAGATTAATCTGATAAAAGAAAAAAACTTTGAATAAATTGTACGGACCGATCAAGCTACATCCAATTACTTTCCGATCTTTTGCCTCGAGAGCAGCCGAACCTCGTATTTTCTTTTGATACTGCAACACGACTTTCTATGTATATTTATGTTGATTAGGATTCATCAGGAAGCATATTTTAAAAGTATTCCCTATTTCTCGAGTGGAAAATATAAGAGTAAAAATTCTGGATTACAAAGAGCTGTCAAATTTAGTCATAATAATAAATGTTTCTTGCAAAGATGGATATAAACATTGACAATTATATGGACGTCGGGTCCGCGCTAAAAAGTGTCCGAACTCATAGGGCGTTAAAATCGTATACAGAGCGTCATTCACGCTTTAGGCTTCGTTTGTTCGACTGACAGCGAAGCAAGCAAAATTAGACAGTACTGCGATGACATTACAATTTAAATTCAACGTTTTAGCTTTTTCATACTCCTTTACATGTCACTACGTTTAAATAGGTTGACTTGAGACATTTTTTTCGAGGTTTTTGTATTAGACCCGTCGTCCATTTATTTGTAAGTCAATGGTTATAAATGAAAATCTGATTCCAAATTTGATTTGTATTACTATTCTTAGTTAATATTTAAATTTTAGTCACGACCGTTACCGAGCTCTTGTCGCTGCCTTAGTATAGGCGACAAAAAACAAATTTTATATCATAGGGTTTCTTTTGAAATATAAATGTGATACTAAATTTAATTTTAAAATCGCACCCCTCATGGAAGAATGACATAAGTGGAGTTACATCAAAAATGTTGCTCTGTTAGATACATAAAATATACCCCACATCCTCTCCAATTCTCGTAATTCTCTATCGACAATATTAGTTAGCAATAAACATTTTTAACGTAACACCACTTATGCCATTCTTCCATCAGGGGTGCGATATTATAATAATGAATTTCGTTCTGCTGGGTTTTCGTTCGTATTGTGGGTACTTATATATTATTAAGTAATATTATGTTTACTATATTTATTAGGTATATTTATTGTGTATATATTGATTATTATATAAGTATATTAAGTATATTTTTGCTGTATTATGTTTATTTTACACCCTATAAATTCGCCATAAAATTTTATCTTATGATTTTTTTTTTCTGTTTTAAGTGTAGCACCTTCTGTTTTTACTGGTAGAGAATGCGTTATGGCATTAAGTCCGCCGTATGTACATTATTGTATTGTGCAAAAATGTTAAATGAATTGGGTAATTAAAAAAAACAATGAATATTAAGCCTTTTTTGGCGCTTACTATGTTTTTGCTATCTCTGCCTATAGATTTTTGAGGCTTTAGGCGTTTAAGGTAACATTTGCGATTTGCGACATTGTTTATAGTAAACTAGGTACGAAATAGTGATGCCTGTTCTGCAGATTTCATCGCGATGTTTTTCATTCACCACAGCTATTCTCGATTCTTCGCAGGAGAACCAACCAACTGCACCAACCACTGCCACGAGCGATGAGAACTTTGAATATTGAACTATTTGTTCTGTTCTTTGAGTTACAATACAATTAATAACAATAATAATAATAAAGGCGTAGGGATGTGACGACCTCATCGCCCACTGGTGGAACGGCACAGTGAATATCATGTCACTTTACCGTTTCAGTAGTGCAAACAGTCAGCGCTTGAGTTCATTGATGTACAGAACCGTGTCAAGGAACTGGTCTCAGCGTTAAATAGGGTAAATAACGGTCTCCCCGGGGTAAGTGAGTGAAAGCCCTGGGTGTAAAATTGCTCATCGTAAACGATGGAGCACAACAGTTACGATGAGCGAATAGGGCCGCTTCCCGGGGGTAATCGCCGGGGCGCGCCTGGAGCTGGGGCTGGGCGTGGCAGTATGCGGGCCCCCAGCCGCGGCAGACTGGCCCGACCATCCGGCCAGTCTACTCACGATCCATCACCACCAGTTGGCATGGTATCGGCAGGGGCTGGGGCAACTCGGTCCCAGCAATCGGTACCCGCCTCTGGTGGAGTACGGCGCCGCATGGCATGGACGATTGATATGAATAAAAATGCCATGCGGGCCTATTTTAGGGCCTCAGGTTCGGGAACCGGACGGACAGGTTATCGAGCAGTAATGTACCGCGAATTTCTTCGGCTGGAGCCAACTTTGACCGTCACAGAACAAAACCTGGCGGACCGAGTTCGGTACCTACAGCGCTCAGGACTTTTTAGCGCTGCCGAACTCGAGCAATTACGATGCGAGGCTGTTCCTCCACTGGAAGAAGAGCCACCCAGGCTGGAGCGCTCTCCTGTTCCCAGCAGGGAAGTTCACAGGGAACCTAGTGCTCAGCAGCCGGATACGGGTAGTACTGAAAGTGATTGGGGAACAGTCGCCCTGGATTTGGAAGCGTTGAGGAGTAGTCTGGAGGGGACGATTCTGGAATATCGCCACGTGCCTCTTGAGCGAAGGCCACGGCTGCCTCGAGTGCCTCTCAGTATCAAGGTTCGGGATGCCGTTGGGGCCATTAACAACATGCTTCCCTCATTTTTAGAGGAAAGCGCAGGCCTTTGGGAGACAGACTCAATTCTTTTCGCTGCCGCAATGACTGTGTGTCAATTTGTCGGCGTCAGGATGCCGCCAACAAGACCCGGCGGTAACCACCAGGTTGGCAGCACTACTCCTAGGACTAGTACTAAGCCAGCCTGGATGAGGCGAATTGAGGGTCGTATAGCATGGGCCAGGGTCCTCATCGGCAAACTGACTAGCTTCAGATCAGGCGTCACAAGGCCGAGAGTGATGCGCTTTGTCCGAGAAGCATTCCCCGGTGAGAACATTTTTGTAGACTCACCGGAGTTTGCACGAAAACTGACAGGGCGCATCGATGATCTGAAGCAGAAGATAGCTGCTTGGGGCAAGCGGATTCGGCGATATTCCGAAAGGGTGAAGAGGTATCGGCAGAATCGTCTCTTCATGAGTGACCAAAAGAAGTTTTATAGGACACTGGAGCGTCCTGATGTGGTCTTGACGGGTGAGCGTCCGGACAAAGCAGAAGTGGTCGCCTTTTGGCGAAGGCTTTGGTCGCAGCCCGTCGATCACGTAGAGGGTCCATGGTTCGAAGCGGTCGAGGGAGCATGTGCAACCATAGCGCCTATGAATCCCATCAGCATATCTGAAGAGGATGTAGCGGTAGCGGTCCGTAAGGCTCCGAACTGGAAAAGTCCGGGACCGGACGGACTGCATCATTATTGGCTGAAGGGGTTCTGGTGCTGCCACGCTACTCTCGCTCGTCAGTTCCAAAGTGCCCTTGAGAGTGGGACGCTCCCAAACTTCTTAACTACTGGGGTCATTCATTTAGCTCCAAAGAGCGATGCTACCGTGGATCCATCACAGTATCGCCCCATAACTTGTCTTTGTACAATATACAAGACTTTAACATCTGTTTTGAGCTCCAAGATAAGTCAGCACATTGTTGATAACAGTGTGATGTCTGAGGCTCAGAACGGATGTAGGGGCGGTAGCCGCGGTAGTAAGGAGCTGCTCCTCATCGACGCGGTCGCTGGCCAACTTGTCAGACGCAACCGTCGGAATTTCTCCGCTGCCTGGATAGACTATAGGAAAGCGTTCGACTCGGTGCCCCACTCATGGCTCTCGAGGGTCCTCGAACTGTATAAAATTGACAGTGCAGTTCGACACTTGCACTCACCGAATGCATCATCCGAGATCGTCAGTTATGAGATTGTATGTCCCGCGGAAGTGTGGAGGTAGAGGCCTATTAAGTGTCAAAACCATGCACAACCGCGAGATATGCAGTCTCAGAAACTACTTTTTGACGATGACGGATGACGTAATTCGTGGAGAGGTTGTCACATGTGATAAAGGGCTAACTCCCTTATCGTTGGCCAAAGAGGAATGGCGACACCCGGTGGTGCTTAGCACCTCTGACCGCGAGTCCGTATGGAAAGAGAAGGAGCTCCATGGGAGGTTCTTCAAGGTACTCAACGAGCCATTTGTGGATCGTAAAGCCTCCCTGCATTGGCTGCGTTTCGGGGACCTCTTTGGGGAAACCGAAGGTTTTGTCTGTGCAATACAGGATCAGGTTATCAAGACGCGGAACTATCGGAAATATATCCTAAAGGACGGCACAGTAGACATTTGTCGGGCATGTGGCCGTCCCGGAGAGTCACTTAGGGATATTGTTTCCGGTTGTTCCGCTCTTGCTAACACTGAGTACTTGCACAGACACAACCAGGCAGCCAAAATATTACACCAAGAGCTCGCTCTCAAGTACGGACTAGTGCAACAGAGGTTGCAATATTACAAGTATTCACCGGAGCCTATACTCGAAGATGACCGCACCAAAATCTATTGGGATCGATCAATTATCACGGACAGGACTATTCTTGCGAATAAGCCTGATATTGTGATATTGGATCGATCGCAGTCGAGGGTATTTCTTGTGGACGTCACCATACCGCATGACGAGGGTCTCGTGAAAGCTGAAACCGAGAAACGCCGGAAGTATCTCGACCTGGCGCACGAGATCACCGACATGTGGGATGTGGCCTCCACTGAAATAATCCCAATTGTTTTGTCCGCAAATGGGTTAATTCCAGTCAGCCTTTCTAACAGCTTGAGGCGGTTGGATTTCTGTGGCGTGTCGCTTCCAGCACAAATGCAGAAGGCGGTCCTGCTCGATACGGCACGTATTGTTCGCCGATTCTTGGACCTGAGTCCCTGACCCCGGCCGACTGTGCCATTGCCGGGAAATACCGCCTCTCCCATTTAAAAATTCAAAATTAATTTTTTAGGCCTTGGGAGAGGCGAGAGTTTAAAATAAATATGATAATAATAATAATAATAATAACGCACACACTCCTAGCCCCGCACTAAGGAAAACTTGTATCGCGGGTGTCATGGTGTCATGTCAACATATTTCTCCCGTTCCGGGAATCGAACTCGCGACCCCTGCGTTACAGTTCAGCATCGTACCCGTTCGGGCACGGAAGCAGTAAATGAAATGTAATGTAATAAAAATATTTAACATAATTTTGTCTACAATGTTGCAAAAGCCGTGGTGGCCTAATGGATTGACCCAAACACCTCTCCAGCAAAGGGCGCAGGTTCAGATCCAGGCCTGCAAAATGAATGTACGAAATTTAATTTCAAATTTACCATGAGCTTTTCGCTGAAGAAACACTTAGTGAGGATATCTTCATACATCTGCAAATCTGTACAATAATGTGTGACGTTTCTAAACACTCCGAATAGGGGAGACGGTCTGTGTTCAGCAGTGGGACTATGATATAGGCTAACTATTACAGTAGTCCTGTAATGTTTTTTTTTTATAATACCAGATGACATGACGAACAAGTCGTGCGCCTGGTGGTAACTGGAGGATTCATCATCATCATCATCATCATCAGCCTATTGCAGTCCACTGCTGGACATAGGCCTCCCCTAGGATTCATGTCAGTTCCAAATCCGAGAACTGGCGGTCCGAAAAGTCACAGGGATCATTTTATCTCTAGGTGTAAAAGCGATATTCGTATAATCTCGGATCCGAGTCGGACTTAGTGCACTAGCGACCTCCGAAGTGGGTCCAAGTTTTCTATATTTGTGTAGTCTAGTAGGATGCTGTGCGCAATAGCTCCAACGCTGTTATCTACCTTTAGCACTTCCGGCTAAGCAAATATTTCTCAAAATGCGCCTACGTCATAGTATTTGCAATACTGCGCCAGACGCAATTAAAAACTAGGTAATATAATTACGCAGAGAACGTACGAGAAGATTTAGAGCAAATTTCATTCGACGAAGGCTGCCTCAACGAAAAACGCTTTGTCTCCACTTACTGGCATTCTTTGCATGGCTATGAGATGCATATCTATAGGCTGGACTTGGAAATATAATAATATAGGGTTATTTGCAAAATACAACCTTACTGGACTATCTAACATCATTAACAACAACTTTGGTTTCATGTATGTAAATGTAATGTAAAGGATTAAAATAATTTTCAAAAAACTTGCTACTAAGCTACTGTTCATTCACTACGCTGACCTCCCTAAGGAGAACAAGCGAGAAACTCCAGGGATTGCTCTTTTCAAATAAACCTAAATGCTATGCTGTTTGAATCATAATTGTGTGGAATCTAGACTCATGTTGTCTTTCCATACATCTTTATCTAACACATACTCGTCAATTTTGTAATATGACTTTCCAATTGAAATACTTTAATGTAAGTTTTAAATTTAGGAAATGATAATCTTAATATATGCTTCGGAAACTTATTGTAAAAACGTATACAGTTCCCCATAAAAGAATCGTTTACCTTAGTTAAACGAAATCGGGGTACCATGAGTTTGGACTTAGCTCTAAGGTTAATATTATGGATATCTTCTTTCTTAATGAAATTATGTATATTTTTACGGGCATACAACATATTTGAGTGAATTTACTGTGATGCCACAGTCATGATACCAGTCACGTTAAACTTTTCTCTGAGAGAAACCCGAGAACCTAAACGGAACACTGAACGAATCGCTCGCTTTCGCAACAGAAATATGTTTGTATATCTGCCGCTGTACCCCACATGAGAATCCCGTACTATGGAAGTAACTAAAGTAAACCAGTCTAGCAGTAGCAACATCGGTAAGCTCACGTATTCTACGGACTCCGTATGCAGCAGAGCTTAATCTGCTGGCTAAAGAAGATATATGCGTTTATCTTTGAAGTTTTCTAGCTAAAGTCCTCCCAAAAAGACAGCTTTATAAACAAAGTCTAATTTTTCTCCATTTATTTCTATATGTAATGTAATATTACATATTGGACTAGTCGATTTTACATTAGGTAATTTAAATGTAATACACTTTGTCCTATTGGTATTGAGCAATAAATTGTTAGCATTGAACCAACAAACTACCTTAGAGAGGGTTTCGTTAATATTGTAATAGTTAACGTACAGTTACAATCATTAATACAAAGTACGAATAAAAAAGAAAAAATCTTAAAATCTTCACTGAGAAAATACTTTCATAGATCTCTCACAGAAGGCAAAAAAATCGTTAGAACCAAAAACAAAAATCTGTAACAAACGCATAGAAAAATTCGTAAGGTCTGCTGCTGGTTCGCTTTCAGGAACAGGTATAATTATTAACCGACTTTAAAAAGGAGCAGGTTGTCCATTCGATTTTTGTATATATGTTACGCGATAACTCGGCATTTGTAAACCGATTTTGATGATTCTTTTTTGTTGGAAAGTGGATACCTCAGTACTTATCTCATTTAAATTTGAAGAAAATATTCCATTTCTAAGGGTGGCAACTAGGGGATGAATCCTGTTTCGCACACTTTCCGGTAACCGATTTCAAAGAAAACTTGGCAAATAGATATAATTCCACGAGCTTTTGAGGTCGGTGTTGTTTTATAAAAAAGTTACGTTATCATATGTGTAAAGTTCATCGTTAAAATCGTGCCTGAATTTAGAAGTCTGCCCTATAGATACGGGCTGTGTTTTAATAAGTGCACCCGTCTCTATGTCAGCCTTGTTCCATACATAGATAAATATTATTAGGAGAAAAAGCTTGTATATTAACATAATTGCCATAACGGACTCTAGTAGAGAAAATGTAGTTCTAAGTATGTGGATTTCACCGAACCTATAATTTGTAAGAACTACGCGAGGTTGCGCTACATCTAGAGATAAGGAATTTGTAAAAAAAATTGGAATTTATACCTTATGATCTTTTAATAAATTTGAAATTTGTAGTTAGAAGAAATATACAGTTTAAGGTTGATGTGTGGTTGAATGTATATATGTACAGTCAGCTTAAAGAACCACTGATTTTGTTTATTTTATTACAAATTCATGTAATTTTACATTAATTTACCAAAAGCACTAAGGTCTGGGAAAAACTTTATGCTATTTAAAAAACAATTAAATATGTTATTGACTAGTAAAGTTCAATGTACAGTGTCCGAATTTTCAAATGATAAATCCCTAAATTCACTGTCTAATTTTTGTCATTTCAAATTAAATCTAAATTAATTTATTTTAGACAGATACAGCCATAATCTTTTAATAGTTACACAATTATGTATGGAGTTCCATCAGGATCTACCAATATTAAAAACAGAAAAATTAAAAACAGTCCTCAAATTGAAGGCGAATGCAGTCTCATGCAATGAAGCACGATGGGGTAATCAAGCCTATCAGCCACAACGCGAAGAACGTCATTCGAACTGCCACTGATACGACTTAGCAAGAAGGCTCTTTCTAAGAATAGCATGTGTGAGCTGCAGCGACCATGCCTGATGCGCTACAGTACGGCGGCAACCCAGCAACACACATTTGTATATTTTGACGTTATTCATATATTACGTTTATTATTTTGACATCTAGTTGCCATTAAAATTGACAGACTTATAAGTTGTGAATTTCAACCTTACAACAACAAATCAACTTACCTTCAATATTTGTATGCCTAATGTTGGACCGGACGTAGTGAAACTATATTATTTTTAACCGATTTAGAAAAAGGAAGAGGTCCTCAATTCAACTGTTTTGTTTTGGGTGTATGATACCCGGTTACTCCGGCAATTTGTGAAGCGATTTTGATGATACTATTTTGTTGGAAAGAGGGTATACCTCAGTATTGGTCCCATTTAAATTTGAATAATAACGCAACACACTCATAGCCCCGCGCTAGGGAAACCCTATATCGCTGGTGCCATGGACACACACATAGACAACCACAAATTACACCCAA